CTTCGAATAAATTGGCATCCAGGCTTCTGAGTGCTTGCCGCTTCGTTCAAACGTGGCTTTTTGGACGCTCAGCTGGAACAGAAGTTGGCCCTACGAGGTGGCCAATGCTGGTCCTTCGACTCTCATCGCGATCATCGTCTCATTGATAAGTATGAATGCCGCAGCCATCGACATCGCGGAGTGTTGTCCATCCAGCCTAGTCAGTCAACGCGTTCTCTCGCTTTTTCACTCATTTCCACTTCCAAGATGCCTTCTTTTTCAGTTTCGACTCTCGTATTCCTTCTTTCGGCGTCTGGTCACGCCGCATGTATCGCCAAACGCGAGGTCAATGTTGGAGCAAATCTTCCAAATGGATGGACTTACAAGGGCTGCTACACCGATGGACCTAGCCGTCAACTGGCTCGAGCCAGCTACGCGGATCCTTCCATGACAGAAGAGTCTTGCGTCAATTTCTGTCAAGACCATGGCTTTCCTGTAGCTGGGGTTGAGTATTCTTCAGAGGTATGTGCTTTTCCGGGCATTTTACTCCGCCAGTGCCATACTTCCTTTAATATCTTGTTGTCTTCTCGCTGACTTCGTAATAATCACAGTGTTGGTGCGACTACAAGATCCCCGCCGAACGGAGGCCTGAGACGGACTGCAACATGGTCTGCAGCGGTGATTCGACAGAGTACTGCGGCGCGGGCAATAGGTTGACCGTCTTTTCCAATGGAGGAACTAGTCCTGCTGTCAATCCTGGCCCTTCAGGCTGGACATCTCTCGGTTGCTACACGGATAGCGGCACCCGAACGCTCTCATACCGAGCGGGCGTATCAGGAGGCGGCTCTGCAATGTCCGTTCTGCAGTGTACCACTACATGCACAGCCGCTGGCTTCGCGTTTGCTGGAGTGGAATACGGTACAGAGTGTTGGTGCGATGACGCCATTCGAGGGGGAGCCTCAAGTGCTCCAGAAGACGACTGCAACATGCTTTGCGGAGGCAACAATTCTGAACTCTGCGGCGGACCCAACCGTATCAATCTCTACAAGGGGGCAGTTGCTCCAGAGACACCAAGCGTTTTGCCCACAGGGTGGAAATCCCAAGGCTGCTTGAAAGACAACATTGGCGGCCGAAGCCTCGGTGTTTATGTCGGTGTGGAAGGTGGCAACACGAATGTAGCCAATTGCATTGCAGCATGCGCTGCAGCTGGCTACGCCTTGGCTGGTGTCGAGTACGCGCAAGAATGCTGGTGTGATAACTCCATCAGGTTTGGTGGTGTCCCTACCACTGACGGCTGCAACATGCCCTGCAATGGGAACACGGCGGAGATGTGCGGTGGCCCCGATCGACTCAATCTCTACTCGCTTGCATCATTGGACTTGGGCTTCTCATCAACATCGTCTTCAGCCATTGTCATTCCATCTTCCAGTTTGACAACTTCTTTGCCAACATTTTCCACCTCAATGACTTCTGTCATTGCGCTGACCTCCTCCATTTCATCTATTGGCACCACTCTGGTGACTCCATCCACCACACTCATTCCCATCGTTTCTACGACGACAATCATACCCACATCTTCAACCACTTTGAGCGTTTCCACACCTAGCTCAACAGCTACCGCTCAAGTATCTGTGTCAACATCATCAACTGTAATAACTCGTGATTCCAAACAATTCGAAGGGCAAAACGCTGAATGAAACAGGCTCCTGGCGGCTCAGCAGCGAGTGCTTGCACCAGAACATCTCGTAAGTCACCTCAATCACTCTGGGTCTGATTATCTGGACACTCAACTGACTTACTCTTAGCTGACAGTATGTATCCCGTGGAATAATTGGATTAATCTCATATCTCACAAGTTGAAGTTACTGACACACAACTCAGGTGCTTACGTCAAGAACGCTGGTTTCGAGAGTGGCCTTGCCAACTGGGCCTTTAAGGTTACGTCCGGAGATGTTACGGCAGAAGTCATCACTGACAACCATCCAATGGGCGGATGTTCAGCTCTGTAAGAACCTGACGTTGAGATTGCCCATCCTGAGTAGAGCTAATTCTCGCCGCTTTTTAGCATGTTGACACCCCGTTCCTCTCCATCTGACGGCGTTCGCCGGGCTGTCCTCCGCCAGACACTTGCTGGTGTCAATATCACTGAGCCAAGAGCATTTGCCGGCTTCTTTGGTCGACTAACTAAAGCCACGATTGATGATGGCGGTCCTCAAATTACCGTCAACTACGGAGGAGTGCGCATTCACCAGTGGGATGCTTGTGGATCTTCTCAGAACAAGTGCAACCTCAACGCTCCTGGTACATTGGGCTATTACAAGATAGTTACCAAGCTATCGCTTAGTCTCGCCGCGGCGAAGAACACAGATATTGTGGTGGAAGTTGTTTGGAGTGATACTAATGGAAAGAACAACCCGGTCCTATTGGACGACATCATCCTCCTGTGAGGAGCGTTGATCCTCTTCTTTGTTAGCATAGATATCTAGATGACTATGATGAAAAGATCTGCTTTGAAATGTTCAATTCTATGTAGCTTGTGGACATGTTGCATGAGACGTCAGCCTCTACGCTAACTGACACAGAAGTGTATGCGCACCCTCCCTATTTGCGGATCCCACATTGACAGAGTCCAACACACAAGACATTCGGACATGGAATAAAATGGTCAGGTTACATGCAACATGAAAGTTAGAAAGTCACAACATTGGGATGAAGGTCTTCGGAAGAATCTCCAGATAAGGCATAACACTCATGCTACATAACTTTCATGTCTAGGTATGCTCATGCTACATCTCGCGCGCTTGCTGCCCCATTACAACTCAACCCGTAATTCGGGAAAACATGTACAATGAAAATGTTCGTAATAATTAATGTCCATCGGCAGTTAACCCCAGCACCTTCTCGTCTCTTCCAACAACGGGCTCCGAGTTCTTGGCTCTCCGGGGAGCCAGGCTAAGTTTTCCAAGAGAAGCATATCTCACAGCACCCCCTGCAGCTGGAATATTGTTTGCCAGGCTCCGCTTGTTGGCAAATGCCAAGGTAGCAAACTTGATGGCCTCCTTGTATGCAGCAGGAATTCCGAACTCGTCGCTAGTCACGAGCTTCAACCCGTGCTTCTCCACCTCTTCTCCGAGATTTTTCATCAGCGTCGCGTTCCGAGTACCGCCCCCAGATGCCACAACTCGTGTAACCTCTGTTTTCGGGAGAATGAAGTCTGCCAGGCTCTTCGTGATGGATATTGCCGTAAATTGTGTCAGCGTTGCGAGAAGGTCCTCGGTGGATGCTGTGGAATATCTCTCAAGAACGGCATCTGCATATGCCGCGCCAAAGTCAAGACGCCATGCGGACCTTGGTGGCTTCCGCGTGTAAAAGTCATGCTGCAGGAGCTCTTCGTGAAGTTTGGGGATAACCTGTCCTTGCGCTGCAAGCTCGCCATCTTTGTCGTAGCCTCTACCAGTGCGAGCTTTGCAGACATGGTCGATCATGACATTTCCCGGGCCTGTGTCGAATGCCATCATCTTGCTTCGGTCCGCATTAGCGAGCTGCAGGTTCGCGATCCCGCCAATGTTCAGAGTGACCATCGGTCTATCATTGCGAAAAGCGACAAAGTCAAGGTACTGCATAAGAGGTGCAGCAGAACCACCAAGGGCATGGTCGAGAGGTCGAAACTGGGTGACCGTATCGACATCGGTCAGCGCGGCGACGACACCGGACTCGGCAATAAAAAAGCCGCAAGGAAACCCTCCTTTTAGCCAGCGGTCCACAAGACTCTTGTTTCCACTTAGGACATACTCCCTCTCTTTTACACGGTCTGGCGGCTCTTGGTAGATAGTCTGGCCGTCGTAGCCGATGACGTCGATGTCTTCGGGCTTCAGATTGTTTCTCTGAATGAGGTCATTGGCTGCCTCGGCATACAGCGCACCGGCGGCATAGTTTAACCGCGTCATTTCGAAGATGGTCAAATCATTGTTGAAGGCTCGCAGGATCAACGGTTGAAGTTCGAGAGGCCAGTCTACCGTCAGGCCGTCGACGTATTGGGGTCGAGAAGGATGGCCGTCCTCCGCGATTCCGATCTGGCAAAGAACGGCATCGACACCGTCGAAAGACGAGCCGCTGTTCAAGCCTACGATGTAGGTCATTTTGAAGGCGCTGTGAAGAGAACGATGTGATGTGGCTTGGGGAAGAGGTGAGACCGGGTGCCTGTCTGGGCTGCCCTCCCGACTTATACCAAGACAAATGCTAGCATCGGGCCGTGGTTTGGGAGATCTGGAAACAGGATCATTCCCCGTCCAGTGTCCAGATTACCGAGCAATTATGTGGGGGTTGACAGCTTCCAGATCTGATCACATTGCCATATTAGGAATCGGAGCATGGACTAGTTTGCTAGCCCATCGGGGGATCCCCCGAAGAGAGGGGAAGTCACACAAAGCCAAGTGGAGACAACTTGTAGCTGATGTTGCACGCTGTGGACGTGAGCTGACCTATCTTACGAGAACTGCAGGTTGCAGCCGATAGAGAGCCTGTTAAATCGCTGCAAGTCATACGATTCGGGAGAATACATCCGCTCAAATGAAAAGTCCAGAATATGCCAAGAATCGTGCTCCTCCAGATGCAAGAACTTGATAGTCTTCCCAACACAAAGAGTCACCATCACATGATCAACGCCGAACTCCGTCGCGAATGAATACTGTGATGATCTATTCAGTGAGAAACCAAGACACTGCCTAATTCCTTATGTTTCTGCGCGACTATACTTTCCATATACTTGATAGATCATCAGATTTTGTTTCAATCAGAATAACCCCCTTCATAGTAACTAGAGACAACGACAATACTCACGACGACAACGACGAAAATGAAAATCATAGACATAGTAACAGTAGTAATAATGAATGGCAGAGGCGACGATAGCGGCGGCGTCGACAGCAAGTAGGCAGGAAGAGTGGTCGCTCCACCGCAGGAAAGATGGGGGGCCTCAAGAATAATCATCGAAGACTATGAGTTGTCTGTTCGTGATAACTCTAGCAAAACTGTCCCACATGAAGCATCTTTGATAGCAAAAGCTTGAGCTTTTCTGTGTCTTCGCCAAATTTTCTCATAGCCTCGGCTGACTTTTCAACAGCGCACTCGTCACTATTGAAAGCCCATCTGAATGCTGATTCATCATTGATGTAGGAAGATTTCTGCAGGTTCGTATTCCGTGCTAAAAAAACGTTAGCGGAAGATTTTCTGACTCTGGTTGGTTATTATCAGCAAAAGCACTTACCAGATTCTAGCGTCAATCTACGATCGACAGGCTCAGACTCTTGTTCCAAAGCCTCAAGAATTGCCGGCGAAGCTGTCAGCAGATCGATACCCGCTAAATCTCGAATCTGCTTGGTGCTGCGGAAACTGGCAGCCATTACCTGGGTCTTGAACTCGTACTTCCTCAGATAGTTCTGTATCTTTGAGACAGTCTCAACACCCAAATCATTCGTAATACCGTGCACCTTTCCCCAGTCTGCTATTCGCCCGACGTAAGGCGCAACGGCATCAACCCCGGCTTCGGCTGCGGTGATAGCCTGGACCAGTCCAAAGACCACGGTAATCAAGCAGCTCACACCATGGTCTCTCTGTAAAACACGTGCAGCCTGAATACCTTCCCAGGTAGCACTGATCTTGATGCGGACTTGACTCTTTGGCACACCCTGTTCACGGTAGAGGTCGATGATGCGCAAAGCTGCGGCGATAGTGGCCGCAGTATTGAAAGAGAGAGTGACGTCCACTTCGGTGCTGACTTTGCCAGTCAACTTGAAGATTTGCGTGCCAAACTGAACGGCAAGATGGTCCACTGCCGCGGTCAAACGCTCAGAGGACGAGATGACCGACGGCAGCGCGTTCGCGTACGCGATGGTGTTCGATATAAGTGTAGCGTACGACGGATTCTGTGCTGCTGAGTAAAGGAGACTTGGGTTTGTTGTTCCTTCAGAGGCGTTGAAATGAGATATTTCTAAATTCTGATTAGCAACTTCTGCTCCGTGCTTTCTGATGAGGAGCTCCAGAAATGCGAAGTAGTTGACTTACTGTCAAAGTCGGCTGTATCAGCAATCAGAACTGTGCCGGCATCTTGCAGGTGCTGTAAAGGTCCAGTGCCCATGATAATGTTTTCTTGCTCGCCGCCAGTACCTTTTCGATGCAAAGGGCAATAATTGTCAGGCAATGAGCTTTAGCAGTGTACTTGCTGGGATAACGAACAACCATCACCTAAGTCAATAGGGCACATCAACCTGGCAATACCGCAAGTAAGTTATGCTACATCTTCATCATTTCAAAATCATCAGCAATCAAGATATAACTGATAGCTGTTGATAAGCGTCGGGGGATAGTCCGTCGGATCAGTCCCCCGTCGGAGCATCCCCCGGGCGTTCAGGCCAACCAGGAACCTCCTGGCTTCAAGCACATTATCACGTCTCACCAAATCACTGACTAAGTAATAAACATTTGCTGCGACATTCTGTATAACCATCACTGTTTAAGCTTCAAGGCACGACTTACCAATATTAGCAGTTTCACTAGTCTACCGGAGCGTCCCCCGATTAAACAGTCTGGGCCCTCGTTTTCACAGCTCCTCCCCCTAAGCCTTACCCCAGACTCGGACAATATGTACCCCAGTGATCCATTCTTTACGGGCGGGGCTAGTGGGATTTAGTGATCTCTAGTGTTACGGCCCCACTGAACGTCAACCTGCCATCTACAAATATTCATCGCCAAGATGCCATGACTTGATTGCGCCGTTCGCTCAAGAGTTTGACATCGTTCAGCGATCTCTGTTCCAGTCGTTCTCGAAGCCCTCTCGAGATGGGCATGTTCAACATTGACTGGCGTTCCAACGCCTGGGCCCTGGCGTACTGCGGGGTCTCGACCTTCGGCGCTCTTTGTTATGGCTACGACCAGATTTACTACACTGGCCTCCTGGGAATGCGACCGTTCATTGACGATTATGGCACGGCGACCGATAGCAAAGGGCTCAAGGCCCTGACGACGTCCTTCATGTCGCTCACAGCTTCCATCATTTATGTCGGCGAACTCGTTGGCGCCCTACTTGCCGCTCCGATCAACGATCGCTGGGGTCGAAAGGCGGTGTTCTACTTCGCTTCTTCCTGCATCATCGCAGGGGCAATTGTCCAGCTTACCGCCCACGGTATCGAAGGCCTCATCATTCTCGGTCGCATTCTGATCGGTCTCGGCGTCGGGCAGTTCACGGTCACCTGCTTGCTGTACATCGGCGAGGTGGCTCCACTTGCGATCCGGGGGCCTGCACTGATGATGTTCCAATTCATGCAGTCCTGTTCCCAACTTGTCGGTTCAGGCATCACCCAAGGGACCGAGGCGATTCCCAACAAGAACGCATACCTGATCCCGATGGGTCTTTTGATACTTCTGCCTGGGCTGATGATCACGGCATTGCCGTTCACGCCAGAGAGCCCGACATGGTACGCGACAAAAGGACGGCTACCTGAAGCCGAGATAGCACTGAGGAAAATCAACAAGAGTCACCTCGACTACCAACCTGCTTACGACATTCAAGTTTTAGACGAGGCGGTCAAGAGAGAAGCTGCCTACGCTGCAGATTCTACCTGGATTTCTCTTCTGCGAGACCCAATCGAGCGACGCAAACTGATCTACTCCTGCGGCGCCATGGTTGCACAGCAAATCAACGGCATCCAGTTTTTCTATTCCTATGGTGTGGTTTTCGCGCAATCAATCGGCATCAAAGAGGCCTTCACAATTTCGCTTATTACAAATATTCTACAGGTCATCTCAGTTGCTGTTTCAGTTGTCCTTGGTAACAAAATTTCCCGTCGCAAGAATCTCCTAATTTGCACAGCCGGCATCTTCGGGGCGCTTGTCGTTGTTGGAGGACTGGGTTCGCAGAGAGCTCCGTTCTCCAACGGCACCAGCGCTGCCATTGTGGTTTTCTCGTACATCGTGATCGTTTGCTTCAATTTTTCGTTGGGTCCACTGGCTTTCACAATCGCCTCGGAGATGGCAGTGGGGCGCAACAGAAACAAGATCATGTCTTGCTCAATCGTCTGTTTCTTCCTGACTGTTTGGGTCATTGCTTTCGTTTCCCCTTACTTGTACTATGACGCGAACTTGGGACCCATGCTAGGGTTTGTCTGGGCAGGGACGACCATTATCACGCTCACATATGTCTGGTTCTGTGTTGGGGAAACGATGGGCCGAAGCAACCTCGAACTCGAACGATTTTTCTTGGAGAAGGTTCCGGTTCGGCAATGGAAGAGGCACCGCTTCATGGACGTGGCTGGTGCCGAGGATCCCAAGTCCGTGGTCCATGTGACTGAGAGCGAAACCCTTGGGAGTGGAATGTCCTCTGCTGCTAAATAACATCGGCCAAGGCCGGTAATTCTACTATAAGACGCCATAAAATACGATTGTATTAAGCATTGAAAATATGTGAATCATTCAGGGCCTCACCGACATTTCCCAGCCACGAGGGCTTGGTTTTTGACCTAGAATCCAGCTCTGGGTGACGTACACTCCGTTGCGTTAACAGCGTCCGCCCCCCTTTTTTTTCCCCGCTTATGCAAAAACATGAAAAAAAGCTAATTTTACGCTATAACGCGCATTTCTCTGCATTGCACGTAAAACGCGTCAAAGTTATCACTAACACCTTAATTACTATTAATTACTATAATCCTAGTAATATTTAAATATATAACTATATAATAGAGATATAAAGTATATATTTTATACTTCTATAGTAATTAATCTACTTATTAAAATATTACTAACTTAGCTAGTTACTTTATCTCTATACTATTTAACTAATAAAAGGTCTATTTTTATTATAAGAGATTAAAATAATATTTATTAAGGAATAGAAAAAGAGACTTACTATATAACTTTATATATCTATTTAGTATATAGTTTATATAGTTCTAAGTAATATATAAGTATACTAAGGAGCTTAATATAATTCTTTAGAGTAAATACTTTAGTAGTTAATAAAATTAATAAATCTCTTAATAGCTTAGCTTATTTATAATATTAAGTAAAAGTTTACTACTATATAGATTATACTCTATTATTTATAATTTACTACTAATTAGTATATATTTATAGTTTATTATATTAGATATATTAAGAAAGATACTAAGCAATAATAATAATATAATAACGCTTAGAATATTAAATCTATAGCTATTAATAATTATAATAATACTACTATTTAAAAACTAAAAGACTTATAAGCTAGTAAGTATTATTAGCTATACTAAATAAATAATTTAATAATATAGATTATAATATAATATTACTAATAAAATATAAAGATATAAGAGGTACTACTAAAGTTAATAAAAGATAGAAATATAATATTATATAGAGCTTCTTAAACTACTATAGTATTATAGTAATTTATCTCTTAAAAAGATATAAGATTTCCTATATAAAGTTTTTAAGATTTAGATTAATCGTTCTATAATTAGTTAATAGTTAAACTTAGCTAGCTAAATAAATAAGAAGTCTAAAATTATTACTACTTAGTAAAATAATAACTTATAATATAAATACTTATACTATATATAATAATATCGCCCTAATTAGCTAGTATTTATTAATAAATCTAGCGTTAATAAGGATATTAAGATATAGAAGACTAAATAAGTACTAAAAAAGCTTACTATATTTTAAACTATAGAGATTAATTAGTTTTAGAACTCTTATATATAAATCTTATTAGCCTTTATATTAAGTAATATTTTATATTTAACTATATATTATAGTATAACTAATAGTAATAGGTTTTTTTATTAGCTATAAAAGTACCTTATCTTAAAATATAAGCGTTTTCTAAAACTAAACTTTATTATTATTATAAATAACCTCTCTTACTATTATATACTTTAAATTAAGATATTATACTAAGTATTAAGTATCTATTTTAAGTTTCTACCTCTATATTCACTAAACTTTAACCTTATTAAAGAGTACTTTAGTAATCTAAAGTAATATATTAGGAAAATATATTTAAAATAGAATAATAATAAGAATAATATTTAGGATTTTATAAAATATCTATATAACTACACTATAGAGATTAGGTATTATCTACCCTAAATTGAGAGCTATTTCTGCTATTTATTTATTAACTTTAATAGGATAGAGTATATATTTAACGATATTAAACTATAAAAGGGAGGATAAGCTATAAGTATTAAATATTAATAAGTAATCTAAATTTTTATTATATATTTATATGTAATAAATCTTAATTATATTATTATATAATAGTTAATTATTAAATCTATAATTATAGCTAATAAGATTACTAAAAAGTTAGCTATAAGCATACTAAAATATAAAAAATACACTATTATCTATTATTTTCATTAGTAGCTATATATATATATTAATTTTACCTATATAATAGCTAAAACGCATTATTAATACTTATAATAATAATTTATAATAATAATATATTATTATAATTAGAGACTTTAACTATAATTAGAGACTTTAACTACTTCTAACTAATATTAAGATAAACTAAAGTATATTATTTATAGATCTAAAATAATAGTAATTCTATTACTTTTATATATATAGAGCAGTAGTATTAAATTTATAGCTATAAGTAGACTTTTCTATAGTTAAATATATTATATAAAAAATTATATATATAGTTAAACTTTATACTACTCTTATTATATCACTTTTCTTTATTATCCTCCTCTAAGTAATATATCTCTATTAATAATATATTACTTAAGATTTTAATCTAATTATCTTTATTACCTTACTTAACTTTATTTTATTTAATCTATAACTATATAGGTAGTATCTATAACGCTAATAGTAGTAATAATAAAATAAAACTAAAGAGTTCTAAAACGCTTATAAAGTTAGCTATATTTAATAGTAAATAGCTCTATATATACTTACTATATTAATTAATTTTAACTAATATACTATAGATCTCTTACTTAATAGATTAATATAGTACTAAAGTATTAATATATTAAGATAACTCTAACTCACCTAAAACTAGTACTATAGAGTTTTTAACTAATACTACTATTATCCCTCTTAGTAATCTAATATATATTCTTATATAAATATCTCCCTCTAACTCTTAATAGTTTAAATAAAGTTTAGAGTAAGATATTATATTAGAGAAAGCGTTAGACTATCCTCTATAATAAGCGCTATTATTTATAAAAGATTTAATTAAGTTTCTAATATCTTTAATAAGATATTAAGTAAAACCTTATTTAGTAAACTAAATATCTAGTAACTTATAAATTACTTATAAGCTACTATTTACTAATTATAGTTTCTATAGCGTCTTTTTAAACTCTTTATTAATATTATATTACTTACTATAAATAGATATAAACTACTTAATAAAGCTAGCTATTTAATCTAAAGCTTTTTAAAGTAAATCTAATACTATTAGCAAGGATAAATAAATTAAAAGTGCAATACTTAGTTAATAAATACTTAGAATATTTAATAGTAGAAGAGTTAGTAATAAATACTATAAAATATTTATATATAGCTAATATAGTAGCAATAGTACTACTAATAATAGCAGCTATATATATAAGTTAAGATATTAAAGATAACAATCTAGCGCCCCTATATTACTATATATATTAATAATAGTATTACTATTAGTATTAGTTAGGTTAGATCTTAACCTTAATAATAGAAGTATAGTATTTTTAGCCTTCTCTTCTATTATTACTATTATCTATTAATTATTATTAACCTTAATAATATTTTTATTTCTCTTACTTTAGCGTTTCTAATCCTCTATAAACTAATTATAAAGAATCTCACTAAGTAGTTCTTTAAGTAGTTCTATATTATTAATACTAGTCTATTTAATTATAATAGCTTTTACTTACTTTTCTATATAGTGAGATTTAATCTTATAGTACTTTTAGCTTAATATATAATACTAGTTAAACTTCTTATTACTTAAACTATTCTTATATCTCTAGTACTCTAAGTAAATATATATATAGAGAAGTTATCTATATATTCCCTCCTTCTAACACTTAATATTTATAAGATTATTAGCTTTATAATTAATCACTTCTTATATACTAGCTAAAACACCTACTTAGTTACCTTTTTAAAGCATTTATATACTAATTACTATATTACTAAAGATTAATATAACGCTATATTACTACTTAATAGTAAAATAGACTTTACTTCTCTCTTTAGCTTATTTAAGAGAGGGGATAATATTAACTTATAGAATACTTAGCTAAATAACCCCTCTAATAAATAGATAGACCTAAATAAAAATTAATATTAGTTTAGATATATTAATAAGCTTCCTCTAAATAATAATAATAGTAATATTAGCCTTCTTTATAATATATAAATAAACTACTTCTACTTTAAATTAAGTATTACTATTTACTTCTTAGTTTTTACTATTTATATTTAATATAAGAATAATACTAAATCTATTATATATAATACTCTTAATAGTTAGATTAAGAATAAGTAAACTATTACCTTTAAGCACTAAACTATAAGTAACTTAGATTTATAGTAAAGTTAGTTCCTTATTACTTATATTATCCTCCTTTTTAAATATATTATAAAATAATATAAATATATTATTAGTATTATAGTAAGAAGCTATAAGTATATTATCTATAAATTAAGTAGTTTAATAAGAAGTTAGGTTAACTAAAGTTAAGTTTAATTAAAATAATAATATTAATAAAAATAGAGTACTTTAGAGCTAGATTATATATAGTAAATCCTTTTTTTACTTCTTCTATATTATTATTACTTTTTAATAAGAAGATACTTTTAAAGCTCTTTATAATAATAGAGAAGCTATAAATATATACTTTCTTTATAATATAAATTTAGCTATTACTAAATTATTAATCTTAAGTTTAGCTTTAGTAATAATAACCTTTTTAATAACTTCTTTAATAGTAATAGCTTAATAAGCTTTCTTAGTAAGTATAATAATCCTAATTAATAGTAAAATAGAGTGTTAAAGAGGATCTCTAGTAGTATCTTATACTAGTTATTATATATATTATTATTTCTATATACTATTAGTAATAAGTAATAAATAATACCTAGAAAGGTTATTATCTACTTATTAAGCTATATAGTAGCGTTTAAGAGGTATTATAATACCCTTAGATAATAAGATTTAATAGAAATAGATTAATTAAAGCTATTAAAATAGGTTAATTACTATACTATAAATATCTATATAGTATTAGGCAAATTTTTATGTATATATAGGGATTATACGTGCGTAATTTCAGCAAAAAGGGGGGGCGGACGCTGTTAACGCAACGGAGTGTAGGCTAGTGACTTTTACACCTTGACAAATGTTAGCCGACGTTCCACCGATTGACTTCCCCTCCCCCTCCCAGTCGTTTCAATGTTTCTACTTTCACCTTTCTCCACCAAAGACATTGAAATCCAATCAGTGGTTGCGTTGCCATGATGTTCCGCGAAGATGGCGCCTACGCCCAAGACAAATCTTGCCTGCGATACCTGCCGTCAAAGAAAATCGCGATGCGATGGCGTTCGTCCGATCTGCACCCATTGCAGAAATGCGGGACGTGAGTGCACCTACAGGCCAACCCCGACAAGCCTAGAAGCGTAAGTGATCTCAACTACCAGCCATTATTCAGGATTCGCAGGTGTACTTTGCCAAGAAAGAAGTGAGGGGGGGTAGAGCCCAAACACTAAGACCATCACAGGGATAACTATGTTTTGTCCCGGTTAACACACGTAGAGGCACGCCTCAAGCAACTCGAAGAGAGATCAGATCACAGCCGTCGTGCAAGCGAAGGACTTGCGTCTACTTGTCACAGTACTCCGAGCGCGCATGCAACCTCATCTCAGCATTCCTCTCTCGTCAAGTTTCCAGAGCTTCACACTGCTGCGGCTTGCAAAATGCTTGTCTACTGGCCCAGGATCCGTATCAATTTTACCGTCCCTGGGATCTCGGCTGCAAATTATTTGTCCGAAACTGATCACTCGGACGCGACCCTGCTCAGCTCTCTCTCCTCAAGATCTTCGACCCCAACTTTGATGCTCTGGCAAGTGTCTCGAGTGCTCGAAGACTTCTATGATAATACTTCGAGTAATTTACCGGTCTACATCTCGGAGTTGATTCAGAGTTGTCCAAAGCTTAGTAGTCAATTTGTGGCTAACAACCTGCGAAACATGTTTGGAATGGACATGGACTCTTTGGACACTGTTCTTGTGGACATCAAACAGCTTCCGATCTCGATATTACTCGTTCTTTCCATCGCGCTAAGATCGGCTGATAATAGTCCACTCAATTTGGGACCAGAGCTACTGCTAGCACTCTCCGAGGCCAGTTTCACAAATGCACTCCAAAGTCAATGGACTTTGCTCTCTGTTGTAGACGACGAACGGATACCACTGTCTCTTCTCATGGCTTACTGCTTGATGTATTTCTGGGCAAGACCGTTTCATGCACTGGGATTAGTACAGTCGCTGGACCCGGTAATACGCACTTTCTCTATGAGGAATGGAGACGAATCGTACGTTGTTACACAAGATCAATGACCTCATCTTACTCACGTCTCCACAGTCTCGGAAGGCTCTACTACAGACTGCACTACATCATTGAATGGTAAGTGGAAATTTTTGCAAGCCAGATTTCCTTGGAAGACTCATGTGTTCTAGTGATATCCTCACCGAAGTTGATGGCATACCATCGGATAAAACATTCGAGGTGCTTACCAAAACCAACGATGAGTCCATGTCGGGCTTTCTGGAGAGTCATTTGTGGCTTAGAAGTCATCTCAATAAAGTACTCCAGTACCTTTACAGCACAAGCAAGGCATATGCCCAACCTCACGAACTTGCCGATCTGGTATGCAACTTGTCGGCGGACCTGCGGGGCTGGTTCCAATCTCAACCTTTGGGCGCCCAATTCGCACGCGACGCCACAGCATTTAGCATGAGCGTTCCCACCATGCCCCTACGAAAAGTGAGCAAGACTCTTTGTCAGAAAAAAGATCCACTGACATCCGGTGACTATAGAGAGAAATCGCACTACGATACTTCGCATGCGCCTTTCTGTTACATCGCCCCGTGTTGTACTTCTTCCTCCACAAGGACATGGAGTACACAGTACGACCCCCCGACACACAAGCACTTCGCTCCGACCAAGCACCCTGGATTCTCGAGTCGTGCAGAGACTGCATCGAGGGCGCCACGCTCTTTGTACACTTCTCATGCATATCCATGGACTCTCAGAGCAGCAAGATGGAGCGATCATATCGCAGCTGGTGTGACATCCAGCTTCTGTTCGCGGCATATTTGGTTCTGGTCCAGGTCAAATCTGTTCCTGCTCTGGTGCCCATCTTTCGGGTCCTGGGAGATATGGAGAATCTCCTCGACCAGGCTGAGCGTATGTTCGAACTGTTTCCCATCGACTCGTTGAAGATTCGCAAGAGCTTGGAGGTCCTTCGCAGCCAACGCCAAAATCTGGACGCCGCTTCACCGGTATATTCGCACGGTTCGGTGTGATGTTTGGATGTTGATGAAAATAACAACAGAGCTTCTACAGCTATATTTGAGAAGCAATACTAATTTAACTGAAGTTAAACGTATAAACTTGATAACCAACTAACCTAAATGTGAACTGTTGTGCCTACTATACAGATTCAGCCGTTGTCAGTATCTTCCCAAATCGACAGCTCTTCACATCATCAAAACACGTCGCAAGAATTGCTTTTGCCCTTCAACATTTTTTTCGAATGAAATCCCACCTTTGTACAAGTCAAAGTGGCCCCCTTCGACTCTGAGCGCCTCTCCTAGCGGCGCTCGCTTTACACATTGTTCTGCTGCTTCCAATGACGCTTCATGATCCCACGTCGGTAAGACAATCAGGTACGGTCGGGTGCTCTTGTGAACTTGTAACAGCGGCCGGGATAGCATGATACTCGACAAAGATCTCCCAGCAATCATGTTTGGCCAAGATGCCCCGTTCTCAGGCTCCAGCCTAGACCAGCCCTCAATGACCTCTTTGGAGGCCATGATAGCCGTCGAAGACCCGTCGCTCACCAGCTTCACATACTGTGGCTCTTGGAATCCCACCAATGAACCAACAATGTCTGCAGTAGCAGTGACTGCCAGTCTCAAAGACCGCAGTAGCGGCATTTGAAGGACACCCGCGGGGCCGTCCACCAGAGGACACTGAGAAATCCCGGCAACTAGGTCGTGATCCTCACTCATGAGCGCTGTGACATGCATGCCACCAAAACTGCTGCCCCACGCAACGATGCGGGAAGAGTCGACCCATTCGCTTTGGTCTGGATCCCGCACCCACTTGAGAACGTCTCGGAAATCTTGCAACTGGTGTTGGACGTTGAGAACGTTTCGTGGGGTGCCTTCGCTTTCCCCGAAGCCGATATAATCGAACGTCACCGCCACATATCCGTCTGAAGTGAAGGCGCTCGCGAAAGGAGACAAGCCCGCAGCTTTGATGGCTCCAATACCGTGGCCCATTACAATCGTTGGAACGGGTCGCTTGAGTCCATCTGGTTTATATATCGAGATGGCAATTTTCTGGTTGTTCCGGCTGGACCGAACGAACCCGTCTTCGATGGTATAACCCATTGTGACAGGGGTAGTGTCAAAAAGGACGGTGAACTGTTGGGGAGCGTCCACGAGATCTCCTTACAACGCAAGTTCAGTGCGTGCTTAGTATTCAGACTCGAAGTCGATGAAGAATGACAGAATCACTAATCATTATATTGCCTGCGCTGATCTCGCTACGAGAGCCAATTCTACAATTCGAGATCTTCGCACAGACAATATTCGAAGTTAAACCTCGGCTTGAAATGCGAAGTATCACATCGTCTGACGTCGCCCTGATGAAAGCTTAACTGGCGCAGTACGGCAGTTGCGGGGAAGACGTTGAACGGAGCCCGGACCCCACCTTCGGAGACGCTGTCCATCCGTCCATCCGGCCTGCATATACACGATAGCTCTTTGAGCTCACTATTCACGTACTCAAGCGTCATTACAACTGGTTCATGATTGATTGAGGCTGCTGGATGCTTTTCGCTGGTTCATCATGTCGACTCTACTCAATCTTGCACCCTCCGGCGTCACCGGACGAATTCCAGACCTGCTCCGCTTCTTGAAGATATCCAAAATCTCCAAATCGTTCTCTCGAAATGGCTGGGCAAGATATGCCTTGGCAATTCTACTCGGGTGGACAGCTATGAAGAAGGCGAGCAGAGCGCTGGGGAATGCCGCCTTGAATAACTACAACCATGACAAGTATGACTGGAGACGGGAGCTGGTGCTGGTTACCGGTGGTTCCGGTGACATGGGCGACATGCTCGTACGCAAGTTGGCAAAGAACTGCGTCAAAGTCGTCAGTATCGACATAGTTCCTCCAAGAACACCACTGCGTAAGTTCACCAACTTTCACGTCTCCTCATTCGTCTTTTTCTTGAGGGCGAGTTGTGTCTCATCTGACCGAATTTCCAGCATCCAACGCATACTTCTACCAAGCGAATATCACCAAGGCAACGTCCATCAAGGAGGCCGCGGACCAGATCCGGCAAGATCACGGAGACCCCACTGTCCTGGTCAACAACGCCGGCGTCATGAAGATCTCCACTATTCTCGACGAGACGGAGGAGCAAATCCGCCAAACCTTTGACGTAAACATCATTTCCAACTTCCTCCTGATCAAAGAGTTCCTCCCTTCAATGATCAAACGCAATCACGGCCACGTCGTCACGATTGCGAGCATGGCCAGCTTCGTGACCGGCGTGCAGAATGTCGACTACTCCTGCACCAAGGTCGGCGCTCTGGCCCTCCACGAGGGGCTGGCACAGGAACTTCGGCATCGCTACCATGCACCCAAGGTCCGAACGAGGTGAGGCCAAGCCCGAAAACCCTAGCTATATCATTTCGGGAGACGAGACTGACGCGGCCCCGCCGGGAATAGCATCATTCACCCAACATATGTGCGCACGGCTCTGATTGACAGAGTGCACAGCTCAGGAAAGTTCAAGGCCTTGCTGCTTGAGCCTGAACATGTCGTACACCAAATCTTCAAGCAAATTATGTCTGGACGTAGCGGGCAAGTATATGTGCCCAAGCAGTACTCGCGTGCTGCGGGAGCACGTGGGTGGCCTCACTGGGCCCAGGAAGGCCTCCGGAATGCACAAAAAGATGTACTCTTCCATGGTTAGCCGGTTGAGCAGCACAAGGCATGTGAGGGCGTGTTGAGTGAGCTCAGACTGTGTTGGGCTGTTTTGCTCATGATTCTCAACGACAGAATGACGTTCATTTACCTTTAGTGCATCACTAGTTGTGTTGGCTTTGCATCATGTGTAAATATGGATCGTAAATAATGAGGAGACTTTTCTGGTCCCAAGCGCGAACAAGAGTGAGGGTCTAGAGCGACGCCCAGGACCCACGTTCTCGACCCATTGTAGCAGTCTTGTGGTGCTTTTCGTAAGGTAGCATCCAAACCAAGCGACAAACACAGCCAAACGGCAAATGTGTGAGTCTTTGTGAATTCCATTATTAGATCACGTTTTTCTGAGTTGCGTGCATATTTATGGCCTCAGATATTTCTCATACGACGCCGCTAAAGTGTGTGAGGTAGTTGGTTTTCACTCATCGTGGGTGGAGTGAATGAACTAGTGTTGTGCCCAGGCCAGTACAGTAAACGGGGCCTCCAAGGTTTGAATTTGGCATCAATTTAATTTGATTACAAAATGGAGAACATCGCGAACTGTAAAGTTAAGCCTAACGTTTGTTCGAATTAGTGAAATGCTTGTGTTGGTGGCCTCCAATGACTGCCGTCCCAACCACCGGAAACCCCATATCGACACGGGCCTCAGAGAGCCATGTGTCTCCCACATTCCATCCGTTCAGACTGCGCCTTTACCAATATCATGACTTTCTCTATAGCTACGCCGCAAAAGTCGTTCGTCATCGCGACTGACGACGGCGGTGTAGCTGCGCAATGGGCCAATGACCTTTCGACATTACATACCCCTGATCGTCGCACCCTTCAGCTCACCTGGCCGAACTTCCACGATGAGTTCTAGACGTTTGAAAACCCGAGCTTCGATCCATGCGGTCGGTCTGAAGTTTTCAGCTGAAGAGAAAAAGGAGGCTCTAAAAATGACAGGATTTGCCGGAATCCGACGTCGACCCCGGAATCTCCCACATCACGTGTAGATCGGCCGCGCAATCAACGGCCCCCGCTGTCACATCAGAGTCGAAACATGGACGTGTGGGGTCCAAAGAGGATTGCGAATCTACAAGGCAACGTCAGAGCCAGAAACCCCCAGCTTCCCGTGATACGTCTCCTTGTTTGCACCCTTTTCGCGCTTTTTCTCCGAAGAGACCGGGTTCCCAAAACAAGCTCCCGCCGCCCCACAAGGCTTTGGCTCCCGCTTACCCGTTGGAACCAACCTGCCCTCCCATCGATAGACTCAGCCATGCGATTGAAGCTGCAGAGCCTCTTTACGGGGTATGCCGTGAGGCTGGGGTCAAGCTAGTCTGCTTTCTGTTTACTTTTACCTAATTCAAGCTTCGCAATCGTCCGATGGAGGCTGGGTTATCCCATCGGGTCCATGTCAAAGCTCGTTTGAGGTCGGCGGGCAATGACATGCCATCTAAACTCCGGTTGTTGCAAGATGCCTGGTGGCGATGTCGTGATGTCTCTCAGGTGCAGAAGTCGAACGCGTCGACATGTCTGGACTGTCGGTAGAGATCGCCGAGAAACGTCAGCTGAATGGCAAGCCCAAACGAGCTGGAGATGGAGCTGAACGTAGAGCTGGCGATCCTCCTTTTTTGCTGGTGACCATGAGATGAGAGTCCAAGTATAAAGACTCGTCTCTATCTCGACCAGAGTTGGTTTTCTTTTCCTCATCATTCTCAACAACATCAACAGTTTTCTACTTTCCTCTACTCTTCAACATTCTCTTGTGCTGTGCACTTTTTTAACATTTAAGTCTTATTCTCGAGCTTTCGATTCTTCGACGATACCCTCACTTGAACATCCTCTCCTACTTGTCAACTTTTCTCAAGACAATCTTTAGTGTCCATTCTTCAAAATGCGTTACTCCACTCTCACCGTTCTCGCCATCGCCCTGCTTACCGGCAATGCCTTGACTGCCCCTACTCCTCAGGGTGGTGCCGGCGCCATCGGAGGCGGTAACATTGGCGGAGGCAACAACAACGGAGCCAACAATGGCGGCGCCGGAGCCGGAGCCAACAACGGCCAGAACCAGAACAACGGCCAGAACAACAACCAGGCTCCTCCTCCTCCCGCCAACAACAACAACAATAACAACAACAACAACCAGGCCCCGCCCCCTGCCAACACCCAGAACCAGAACCAGAACCAGCAGCAGCAGGGCAACAACAACGCCGCCGCGAACAACGGTGCCAACAACAACGCTGTGAACAACCAGGCTAACGGAGCCAACGGAGCCACCGGAGCTGGCCGCAACACCGCCGGCAATGGCAACCTCCGCCGCGCTGCC